AAAGCAGTTTCTATTGGCCAACAATAAATTTTGGATTTAATGAAAGAAAGTACTTTTCTTCATTATCAATGTTGTCTATCTATTAATTTAACATTTTCGTAATCTTTGATGTTAATATCGAACTTAAAAGTCCAGGTAAAGCATGGTTTATACAATAAACCGACTTTATTATGTTTGTATAATGTCCTCTTTTTTGGGTTTCGGAACTTTTTCTTCTTGAGACTCTGGCTTTTTTTCTACCAATACTCCCAAGCCCTCTCCTTCGGAGCATAATTCATAAATATGATCTAAAAATACTAATCCATCACCATCTGCGTCCAATTTTTTCACAATCTTTTTAATCCTTTCATTATCGCCAGGTGTGTGCTTAATAATTCTAAGTGCTTCTGCTAAATCATTAACACTTATTTGCCCGCTCTCGTTTGCTTGAATTAGATTTAATTTCGAACCAACTTCAGTGTCATACTGTTCCAATTCCTTGTCAATTCGTCGGATCATTTTTTCTAAGCGTGATCCAAGACGATTTGATACGGCGGATTCTTTATGCTTACCAGTTTCCTTTAACCCTTGCATATCCTAAAAATATAATTAATAATTGATCATTGTTTTATTTTCCCTACTTGATTGCAGAAATGGGAACAAACCTCCTTATATTCCGCTCGGTCCTCCTTAATTTCATTTAATGCTTCCCTTTCTTCTAAAACAGCTGACTTAGAAGAAAGGATTGATAGTGCGGCACGTAGTTCTTGAAGTTGCTGTTCAGTCATGCGAACATCTTCCTCTTCAGGAGCCTATAAACAAGATATATTAAATTGATAAAGTATAATTGGTAAGAAAGAACTAGAATCAAAGACTTATTTCAAAAAGTTACTTGAATTTCACTTTGCACTTGTTCGCTAAGAGCCGCCGTTGCCTCTTTGGCAGCTTCTTCTGCTGCCTTTTGGGCGCGTTTTACCGCTTCCTCTGCTTCTTTTTGAGCGCGTCTTGCTGCTTCCTCTTTCTACCAATTCAGAACAATTTAAATATTAATAAATATTAATCATATCTTTTTGCTATCAGATAATGTTCATACCTCTTCTTGAGCCTTTTCATCAGCAATCAGCTCTTCTTGTTCCTCAATGACTTCGAGCTTTTGTTTATAGGTGGCAGTTCCCTTATCTTCAGAAAATTGCAATTCTGCTTCATTAATCTAAAGGGAGGAATAATATTTTAATTTTATATTAAAGGAAATTTGGTATAAAATAAGAGAACTTACAAGGTTATCTGGTAAACTAGATAAAGTAGCTTGTAGTGCCTCTGCTTGATTTGTTAACTCTGGCCGATCAGCTAAACTGAAAGCGCGTGAGAGAATTAAAAGAGTAGAAGGAACTTTGTGGTTTAGGTGAAGGTCAAGCCATTGTTGAAGTTCACTACGTAACCGCGCCGGAGAAACACCTATAGTACGAATACCACGTGACTGGCATGCATGTTGAAGTTCTGGAATGGTTAATGAATCAACACCTTCAGCCATTATCATCTGAAATTTAACGAAAAAATCAATACACTATATTGCCACACATCATTAGTAGTATAAAATAGAATAAATAAATATACTTTATCATCCTCTTTAATAGCAGTCATTCTATTTCTTATTTGAAATTTCAGGAAATTGTCTGTACCGAAAGCATTAAGGTTCATATAACGGCACATGCTAACCAGTTGAGGACGCGATAAATTGTCTAACGTTAGTTCATCTTCAAACACTTTAGCTATTCGAAGCAAAACTTCAGTGCTAGCTTGTTCTCCTGTTGTTCGAATCTATTTTGATATACAACAATATTGGCTTAAAATTAATATTTTACAAACATCATAGAACCAAATCATGTCATCATACCTTACGAAAGTACTCTGTAAATTCTTTTGCAGCCTCGTTACGATTTTGTCCGGATACAGTAGCCTCAGCAATTGTTTCCTGCAAAAATTTGGCCATCTCCAAACGGACCTTGAGTAATTTTCTTTTTTTCTCTTCCTACACGATGAGATATTAGTTAAATTACCAAATCAATGCATTAAATTTTATAAAAGAAAACACTACCTTTGCAAATTTATCTTCAAAGGTGCTAGGCAGCATATTTGGAAATAATTTAAGTACTACTGGTAGTAAGAATTCCATGAACGGAACAATTATAAAAACCGCAAATGGAACTAGACGAACGAGATCTTGGGTAGTCCTCTTAAGCTAAGTTTATAAATCATATAATACTTATTAGGAAAGGGTCGGAATGAGTACTTGAAGTTTTATCATTACATACTTGTCGGTATTCTCGTCGAGTTAATTTTTGACCTTTTAAGAGTTTGTATAACAACTTGGTTGAGATTTTAATTTCTAAACCTAAAAGTTTTGTTCCCTGCCAATAATGCACCAATTCATCTTTAATTCGAGTAATCAATGGCTTTTTTTTGACGATGGCATCAGGAAATTTGTCAATAATATTAGCATCCTCCTTCGCAACTTGCACTGTTTCGTGTATAGTTGACCCTTTTTCCGGAATTTCTGATATTGACTTTTTTGAAACTTGTGCGTTTCGAAGAAGCCGTAATTCCTTTGATAAACTTAGAGGGCTTTTACTGGAAAAGTATGAAGTTTGTGATATGCTTGAATTTTGAAGGAGCCTATTGTTCGCTTGCAAGTAAGAGTATTATTTTATTTTTACGTACATAAGTGTAAACTTTTAAAAATTAAACTGAACGGTCGTTTGAAAGGAAATTTCTGTAAAATGATTTTCAAATCTTTACCAACTACTGATTTCCGCAACCCCTGGCGTACCAATATTGAATATGCATTTATGCTTGCAGAAAAAATGAAAGTTGTCCTATTCGTGATAAGAAGTTTCGTGGAGGCCATGATAATCGCAGCCTCGAGAAGATCGATCAACTTCCTCATGGTTACATATTCATACATTTTTATATAAATCAATTTTCACGTGTTATGCCATTGTGTTGAGCTTATTTTAGATGCATAAATTTAATTAAACTAATATCTGATAACTGATACGTAGTGATAATAATAATTAGCATTAGACATATTCAGAATTTATACAAATTTATTGTGCGCTATTATATATTATTCTATAAAGATCTAAAAGGGGACGAGATAAATCACCGCAGCTCTACAGACATTAAAGCAGGATTTTCTATCAAATTTTTCCAAGTCTCGGAAAATCTCGCAACAGTAACGCCATCAATTATACGATGATCCGCAGAAAAGCTTACTGGCATTATATGTTTTGCGACTACCTTTTCAATAGTTTTCCCTGTAGTATCATCTTTAACAGATTCAAACCGTGGGAGTCTTTGAATTTTGCCTATGGCGGCAATGCATAATCCTTGAGAAACAATAACCGGAGAAAGATGAGTTCCACCAATAATGCCAATGTTAGATAGTGTTATAGTTCCATCCTGGATATCAGAAAGGGAGATAGCATTTCTTTTGCCATCTTCTTGTAAATGTTGTAAATCAGCTGCGATATCAAAAATCGATTTCGTTTGCACATTTTTCACATTTGGTACTAAAAGGCCTCCGGGTGTGTCCATTGCAACACCAATATTGTGAACGTAACGGTATTTTAATTTGACGGTGTCTGGACTATCGGCATCCACGAGACAAGCGTTGAGAATTGGAAACTTTTGTAACGCTACAGAAAACGACTTTAAAAGAATTGGCATGAATGTAATTTTTTTGAGTGAAAATTTGTCGCTTTGTGCAATGTACTCATTGACCATGTCACGAAATACGATAGCATTATCCAATATGAATTCATCACCATAACCAAAATGAGGAATTTGAAGGGAGCGCGTCATAGACTTGAACATAGATTTCTGAATAGTTGACAAGGGTGTGATTTTATCTTCAAATGTTTTAAGAACCTGTGGTGGTGACGATGCGATAGCTACAAATCGAGCACCAATGGTCAATAAATTGACTAAATATTCGAAAATAAGTTTTTTAATAGATAAAATAATTACGTTTTCCGACAGATTGAGTTTTCTTGGCTATGTAGTTCATCACATCGTCCTTTGTGACGCGGTCCCCTTTTCCCGTACCTTTAATCTCGGAAATATCAACTTTGTGTTCTTTCGCTATACGTCGAACAGCAGGAGTTGCCAAAGATAAAACTTTATTATTTGAAGAAAATGCATTTGTTTTAAGTTCCGAATGCTGAGTTATTGTAGAAGTTACAGAATTTTCATCGGATTCCAACTCTTCATGTTTTTCCGAGGCGCTTTCAGTTTCTATGTCAACTATTGGTTTTCCAACTTTAGCCATTTCCCCAACTTCATAGTGTAATTCCTTAATAGTGCCGGAATAACGTGATGTAATTTCTACACTTGCTTTGTCGGATTGCACTTCACAAATTTTTTCAAATTCGCTGATCTGATCTCCAGGCTTAACAAACCTGTAATGAAAATAAATTATTAAAGACTTATTTCACTTTACCGGATGAAGATGAGTAATTAATATTCCAACCATTGTATGATTTCGCATTCGTTTATTCCTTCACCAATATCAGCCAGCAAATAAGGAACTATCGCGTTACGTAGATAAGAAGTATGGAATTCACGAATACGAAGATCCGTTATTTTCATCGAAAAGGAAGTAAAACCTGACTAATTGGAGTCGTATAATTGATCAATAACCAATTTATCTATCATGTTTCTATTCTGTAATGATTAACAAGATTCTTACATTCTCGAAATGTCTAATTCGGGCTGTATTTATGAGTCGACTGTAAAAGATATGCCTCAAGTGGAAAATCTACTGAAAATGGGTTATAAATTACTAGGACTATCAAGATAGGTATATGGCAGTAAAGTAACGAATACATATGTTCTAATTACTAAACACATGGCATTAAAAGTTTATAACTTTATTTTTCGAAACCCTTAAATGAAGACCGAATAATCAAATCAGGCTTACCGCCATGCTGCTTGATCTATTGTAATGTGATAATGATCGTAGGCATTTTGTACAAAAAAATCGATTAATCTGTGCTGACATGGTTCAAAAAAAACAGAGAAAAGGGAAGGCGAATGAATGTATCAAAATGCAAGTTCGTGTTAAACAATCTTATGCAAGGACCGGTATTAAATGATTTGCATAGTGTAACGAATATATATGTCATACCCTTCAATAAATATTCCAAAAAACAATACTTAGTTCTAGTACGTACGGACAAACCCTATAGGATAACTTTCTTCTGATTGGTCAATTACTTACAATTGTATTTATACAGTTTAGAGTACTTTTTAAAAAT